AAAAAGTAAAGGTGACATTGGGTCTCCTTGTCTAACCCCCGTTCTATTTTTATGCGATTACTGTTAGTATGTAATTTGACAGTGGTTGTTGCCTGCAGGTATATTTTGTATAATAATTTAGTATATCTATAATCTAGCCTGCATTCTTTAAGCGCATGTAATATTTTGCTTAGCTCAACTGTGTCAAAGGCTTTGTGAAAATCGATAAATATTAGAACTAGAGGTTTATTGTATTCCACTGCTTTCTCTAGCTGTAGCTATAGCTGTTCTAGCAATAGTCAACCTTCTACGTATCTGTCTGTCACACCCTCCGTCATTTGTTATTAGGTACAATAGGTATATGAAATTATTTACTACTTCAAGCCCCCAATTTCTTTAATGTGTTGAAGATTAATCCGAGCTCTGTCTACTATCATGATCTTTGTCTCACTCCTATTTAGTTTTTGTCCATGTGTTTTGCTTTTTTCCTCCAGACATCTCATTATGTCTTCCATTTCTTTTTAATTTGCCGCGATTATTAAAGTGTTATCAGCATATCTGAAGTTATTGATTTTTTGACCTCCTACTGATATTCCGTCCTTCCATCCGTCTAGTACCTTTCGCATAATGTGTTCGCTGTAGATATTAAACAGAGTTGGTGAGATTATGCATCCCTGCCTGATACCTGCCTCTGTTCTGAAATGATCGGAATGGGTGTTGTTTATTTTTACCGTGCACTTAATATTTTCATACAGATTTCTAATTAGTTAAAGTGTTGTTAACACTATTAAGTATTGGGTGTTCCTATTTCCGCTAGTATGGGACCATAGCTGCTGCCATTTGACTTTATCGAAGGCCTTTATGTAATCCATAAAGCACATAAGCATAGGAGTATTGAATTCACGAGTTTTTTCGATTAGCTGTCTGACATTAAGGATGTGTTCTCTTGTGCCTTTTCCTGGGACACATCCCGCTTATTCTTCTGATATCTGAGGCAATAGAAAAGCTTTTAGTCTTTCATGTATTACATTAAGTAGAACCTTGCTTGCATGGGATATTAGGGTTACCGTTCTGTAGTTTCTGCAATCTAGCGGAGTTCCTTTTTTGAATATAGGGATAAAAGTGGATGTTGTCTGTCGTTGGGCCACTCTCCGGTTTCCCAAATCTTTTTGCAGATCATATTCATAGCATTTACTCCAACATCTCCAGTCTCTTTTAAAACTTCTGCGGTGATCTGGTCTGCGCTAGGAGATTTTCAATTTTTCAACTTTTTGATTGCTTTTTCTATCTCTGATTTTAGAACGTTTGGTTCTCTCTCTGCAGTGAACTCATCGTGATTTGCATTCTGCGGATCATCTGCATATAGACATTAACAATATTTTCTGCATACCTCCGCAATCCCTTTCTCGTCATTTGTAAGATGTAGGTTTTGATCCATTATTGTTTGTGTGATTGGTTTAAATTCCCTGGATAGATATCGAACTTTGTTATATAGCTCATGGGATTCAAACCGGTTTGCATGTCTCTCTAGTTCTTCGCATTCTTCATTTATATGTTTATTTTTATCATCCCTACATGCTCTTTTTATTTCTCTATTTAACCTTAATAATTCGTTTTTGTTGCTGTCGTTTCGATAATATGAGAGATTTGATTCTCCTTCGCCCTTCGAGAAGTTGTAGCGTTCTGTCTGTCATCCAGTGTTTTCTTTTGATGATTTTTTTTTCGGTTCTGTTTCTTTCTACAGAGATTTCTATGGCATTTCTGAAACCTTTCCACATTTCATCTGGGTTGCCTTGTGTGCTCAACATACTAGTTTCCTTTAATGTATCTCTAAATGTTTTCGAATTTGAAATCTCCAGCCTGTTTTGATTTTGTTGCGGCATTGTTCTTTTTAGCTTCATCCTGAAGCAAGCCCATACAAATTTATTATTTTGTTTGTCAAACATGTTTTGCATCTGTTTCTAATCAATATGTAGTCGATTTGGTTCTTGTATTCTCCATTTGGGCTGGTCCACGTCGATAAACGACGGGCAATATATTTGACGATTGTGTTTACAATGGCCAAACTGTTTTTGATTACAAAATCTATTAAACGTTCGCCTCGGCTGTTTCTAATACCTAACCCATAGTTTCCTACATTTTGGATGTTATCATTTCTTGTTCCTCCTACCTTAGCGGTAGGAGAAACAAGAGCGGGTTTTAAGGCGGTAATTAAAGAGTTGCATAAAAAATTGTATGCATAATTCTAGCACAGTGTACCACAGATCAGTAGAGCCCCTCTAGCAACTAATATAATACATATCATATTCCTACTTTTGATGGTTCTGACGATAAAGTGGAAAGACGTCAAAAAAGCCTTAAAATTAACTAAATCTTCAGAAATTGCTGTAATTATGGGAGATTTAGGAGGGCCTTTTGTAAAACTGTAATATATAATATATAATACTGTTTTTATCTTATTGAAAACGTATCTTTTGGCCATCTCAATGCATCGTTTCTTTCATTTCACCGAAGCTTTTCTTTCATTAAATTATTTTATCTCTTAGAAGATTTTAAAAATATGGTTCATCACTCTCTTCGCATTATATTCTTCACATTTCAATGCTTTGCGTTTTTTAAGTACTGTATGAACAGCGATATTCGCGATTCTTAGATTATGTTGTTCGTTTTTATTATTGTATTTCCTCCTTTTCAATATCAACGCTTTTATCTCTTGTATTATCTATTGTTTGCTTTTAGGAGATATCGCCCTCCAGTTATTGGAGTATAATATTCCTTAGGGTCTTCTCTAACTTTATCCATTTTATTGTTTCGTTACTCTTCTCTTTCTACTTTCTGAACTGCTTGACTTATTTGTCCTTTAATCTGTTGGTAGAGACAGATTCTTTCAGTCTTCTCAGATTAATTCTAGTCGTTTTGGTGGCTGCCTTTATTTACTTTTTTTTGTTAAGTTTCATGTCTGCTGAAACAAGATTGTTGTTACTTGTTATATCTGCCCCAGATATAATAATTGTTTCGCTTGCTAACGACATTAAAAGTCCTGTGATCCTCGTTTTTTCTACTATTACGTTCTTTGTTATTATTGCGATGATGACTATTCTATTCATATCTTACAGATCTTTAACCCTTAGCTTGGCGCGCACATAAACGCTGTAAGAAAAATGTTTTTGCTTACTGAATATTATTTTTAAGGGCTCCATTTTTAGAGTCAATTACATTTTTGTTTCTATTTTAAATTTTTTAACATTTTGTTAACATTGTATCTCATAAGATATACTACTAAGCGTACCGTACATTACAATGTACCTCGCAAGACACATTATCAGGAATACTATAAAACAAGTACTGATGACCAATAGATACATTTCCAGGTTATTAGAAAAATACCTCTGTTTATCTGGCAATGTATCTTCAGAGATACTACTTTTCAAAGTGATCCTATCTGTTTGTTTATAGACATATCATGATTGACAATGTCAATCATGAACAATTGATAGATATTCTGCGAAAGACAGGTATTGACGACAAGGACATTCGAATTGTGGCAAACCTATACTGAAGTCAAATATCAAGAGCAAAAATTGGCAACAAGCTCACTGGAAGTGTGCAGATCAAAAGAGGTGTCCGTCAAGGGTGTATCTTATCCCCACTCCTATTCAATATTCATTTACGGATAAGTATTATACTTTGACAATGTAGAATCTTATGTGTACCTTGGCATCAACGTAAATGCAAAATGAAAACAGGCCACAGAAATTAAGGCGAGAATAAAACGAGCTAGAGCAGCATTTAACAATATGAAAAAGCTCCTCATAAGCAAGGATTTGTCTCTTCCCCTAAAACTACGTCTAGTTAAATCTTGTGTGTAAACACCCACATTTAACTAGATTAAATCTAGTTAAATGTGGGTGTACCGACGCATTCTTCGTATATCCTGGACCGAATATGTCACCAACACAGAGGTAATCCAAAGAATCAGAAAGGAAAAAGAAATCGTGAGCACAATAATACAAAGAAATCTTGAATATTTAGGCCACATATTGAGACACGATAAGTACCGTCTACTGCAATTGATTGTCTAGGGGAAAATAGACAGTATTCGAGGTCCAGGCAGGAGAAGACACTCGTGGCTCCAAAATCTGCGGAAGTGGTTCAAGCTCACATCGGTCGAACTATTCAGAAGTGCCGCAAACAAAAATTGCCATGCTAATAGCCAACGTTTGCAACGGACAGGGCACTTGAAAAAGAAGAAGAAGATATCATGAATTTTATTTTAAAGAAATATTTGCTGAAGACCTAATTAACTATAATTATAGTTTACCAATCCATACATAACTAATAACATATACAAAATTAATTTACTTACCGAATGACACAAACTAGCACCTTCTTTGGAAGATATTTTGAGCACGTCTCCATAAAACACTCTCTGATTGGTGCAAATCTCTGTTTATGGCATTCAAATTGATGACTAGTTAAACTATGATTTTTTTATAGAGAAATTACTTTTCCATCCATAGTTCACTTGCAATTACAGAAAAAAGAACCATCTGAGCCAAAACCTTTAGAATGTCCTCAACTCGGCATCGTGAATTAGCTCTAAATTTTATGGATGAATGGATTTATTGCAATTTAATATAATTTTACCAATGTCAGTGATCTATGCTGTCGAATTTCAATAAAAAAATAAACAAAACTGAATTAATACACTAAATGCTTAACATTTATTGAGTATTTTTTACCTCAAAAACAGTGCTATATAATATTTTTTAATGATGTTTCATATTTACAATTTGCGGTGAAAAGTTTTAAAATTGTCTAAAAAGTGTTTAAAATATATCAAGGAGTAACTAGTATTCGGACAAGCGTAGAAAATAGTGAGTATTTAAGCTTAAATAGGTATTATAAATGAAAGATTCTAATTTTATTTATATTTATTATATGTATCTAAAATTATTCTCCACAACTAGATCTAAAAACAAAATACAATTATGCAATATTCTATTAGTCTTTACGTTTTCTTAAATAGCGGGGTCGGCAAGAAGTTGGTCCATGTATTCTTGGTATTTGGTTTGGTATTTCTTATCTTTATCAAAGGTACTGGCAAGTTCATCATACCAATCGCGGTGGTTTAAGTATATGTACTTTACGACTTTTTTAACTTTAATTTTGTCTTCCTCTTCGCATTTGTCGCAAGTTTTGTCGAGTCCTTCTTTCCAGCTTTCTAAAAATAAAATTATTATTTTTAAGTATATTTAATAAATCAAAATCATTTTTTATGTAATAATGGTCTATACGTAAATTCCAAATAAGACTTTTAAAGTATAAATAAAAAAATATTGAGATTTTTACTTTAGTTTTAACTATTTATATAGTCACAGTAGGTAAATAACAAAAATAGTGTAAGGTATCTCGCAAGGAAAAAAACAAAAGAGATATAAAAGGTAGAAAGCAAGCGCAAATACGTATTTCCAACTATGTTGGTTGATGCAGCCAAGTTAGAAAAGCAGAATGTTTACTTGGGAAAGGATCACTACAGGAGCAATGCGATCACTTTATGGCAATAATGTTAGAGGACTCTGAGTGAGGATATTTCGTTTCTTATTTTTTCGTTTCTAACTCTCTCCAGTTTCGATCAACCACAGCTTCGTCTCAGATAATCAATCTATTTCTGTCGTCATAAGTTTGTTTCTATTAGCTTTGGTGACGTCCCTTCTGTACTTCCATCTTATATAAGTACTTATTTTATTATATTTTCATATGTTGTGAAAGTTTGGCATAAATAAGTGAAAAATAGAATAATATGGTTGCCATTTTTATTAGTCTGTTAAAAATACGGTCGCCCAATTGTAATCCCTGAAAAACAGACTAATTCACAATAACAATTCACCAAAGGTTATAATGTTTATTCGACGATATATCAGAGAATCAAACGTGTGACGTTAGAATATGAGGAGCTTGAAATGGTGTTGAGCTACAAAATTTTTCCAGGCCCAAGCGGCCCATATTCTACTGATTTCTGGAACTGATCAAAATTTTCCTTTTTTGACACACAGATGTGAATTAGGTATTTTTATTTTACGCAAATGTAGAGCGAAACATGCTTCTCTACCGTACTTTGATCAGCTAAAAACACTCGTCAGAGCTAAAAGATAGGATGTTATGTTTCGAACTACATGAAATGAAAGCCTTGTTTCTTCCACAATTTGATTTAAATAGACTCTTCAAATATTTTATAATGATATCGTGGACTTTTATGTCATTTCCTTTGGTTGTAATGGTGATTAAGGACCCTCCGCCATGATTATTTTCACAGATTTCTCCTCCACACTTAAACGCGCTGCATAACCTTCTCACTACGTCGTAAAACACAGCACAGTCCTCCAATAACAGTGTTAAATCTACATACATTTATTCTGGTGATTAATGCTTTATCAGCAAATAGTAATGACACATATTTGCTCCTTCGTGTCCATTTTTAAACTGAGGTACACCGCATCTAATGCGCTCTCGCGCTGTGATGTCACTGGTGCAAGGTGAGACTTGTAATCCAGGGGTATTCAATATGTGCATTTGACTTTGTATTAAGTATAAAATTAAAATTTAACCTTAATTGCAACTTGGTCAGGAGTGGACTATAGGGATGAACCCTTAGTTGTACAAACCTTAACCTGACTGTCGATTCAGAAACACAATTAATAACAACAATAACTAAGTTTTGGGATTTCAAATAAACTTATCTAATTGTTAATTGTGTGAAATAAACATTAATAAGTATATAGGTAATTGCCGATATTGCAATTGTAGTTCTTCTTCTTCTTCTTCTTCTTCTTGTTTCTATGGAAACATGACTGTCTGTTTTTCAATATGCCTCCAGTAAGTTGCCTTCCATCGTTTTCGTGGTCATCCTACTGATCGTCTTCCTATTGGGGAACCATCTTTTGCCGTCTTTACTACTCTATTTGTTATCATTCGGCTTATATGATCATTCCATTCTACTGTTCTATTTCTCACCCAGTCCTTGATGTTCTCCATCTTACAAGGTGGTATATCTGTACTTCTCGCTTTATGTCATAGTGTGTTACCATCCATTTCAAGTGTTTTTATATCTGCTGTTCCTAACATTATTTTTGTCCTCGCTTTGTCAGGTCGTGTTTCTGTCGCGTATGTCATTATTAGTCTGATGACTATTTTGTAAATTCTGCCTTTTATTTCATTTCCGATATTTTAATTTCTTCATATTGTTTTCTTCAGGCAAACTGCGGCTCTGTTTGCTCTATTCACTTGATCTTCCACTTTTGTTTTGAGCTTTCCATAGCTAGGTAATGGGATGATTAGATATTTAAACTCATCACTTATTCTCTTATCTGACCTTCCAACTCGCATTTACTTCTTACTAAATTTGCTGTTATAATCATTTGTCTTTTTCGGGGAAATTAACATGAAAAAATTTTCTGGCGGTTATATTAAATTGGTGCAGCATACGTTGTAAATCATCTTCACTTAGGGAGAATAGTATTGTGTCGTCTGCATAGCAGATTATTTTAAGGTGTTGTTCTACAATTTGTAGAATTTACAAATAGTTGATATATAAATTCTTTAAAATATATTGAAATTTCCTCGTATATGTAATATATCAAATCCCCTCATATATGTTTGAAAAATCGAACAGTCTTTTTGATGCATATTCAGTTTCCTATTCGCACGTATAAAAACCCAAATATGTTTTCAATTCCTCTTAGCGTTGCCAAGTAATAAAAAGCATTTTAGAGTTGTTTATTTATTTCGCGGTTGCGTATTTTGCAATCCATAATTCTTTGATTTAAGCCGCCCGATGTACGCAAACTACGTTTTCAAATTAATAATTTACGTCTGTAATTTTCGTTGTGTTTTGTTATTTCAGCGTTTTGTTTATTTCAAGTTATGTGAACGAATTCTTAAGATAATTTCGTCATTCTTACTTGGGTCATTGTAGGCTCAATTATGGATCCAAATTCATCCGTCGAATTTGTGGTTTTCTATTTTTGGCCTCTTTTTATGGAAATATGTAGCAGTGCAAAGTAGTTTTGTGGCAGTTAATGGTTCAATTAATGTTTTGAGTGAGGATTGGAAGAATCGTCGTTTCCATCCTCGTTTTGTTTCTCCCTGGTTGTCATCCAAGGGTTTTTGGCAGTTTGGAGATGAAGGTGTTCGTGTGTTTGTTACACAGAGAGAGTGAAGCCCCAGTTCCAGTTATGATTTCAGAGGTTCCAGTAGCGTCTGGTTCCAGAAATTTAAGTGCAGTTTGCTAGTGAAAAATCCAGGTAGCTTTTTGATCAAATTTTAAAGTAAAGACAGACATTTTTTTAAATAAATAATTGCTTTCGTTACAATTTAAAAATAGTAATATTTAATATTGTAAATTTTGGGTTTTGACTTTAGCTGTTATTTTATTTGTTTTCAGTTTTTAAAATTTAATGATAACATATGACAGCTAGCTTTATTATTTTCGATATTTATTTGTTTTGTTTGTTAAAAAAAGGGTTAATCTCTATGCGGTAACATTTGTAAGTTTATGTAGTATCTCCAACTCTTGGAGTTTTTAAACGGATGACATCTAAGTTTTTTGTATTTTTTTATTTTGCGACTTATTGAGGTAATATTTTTGTATTGTCTTTTTTGAGTATTTTTTTAACTAACCCCTTTTTGATAAAGATATGTTTTTTACGTTTAATAATTATTTCCTAGTTACAACTAGTAGTTATAATATGTATAATTAGGCACCTCAAAGTGACGCCCTATATTAAATTACGAGAGGTGATTTCTGTTTCTTTTTGCTTTGTTTATCCCAAGAGATCCATGACCTTTTGTTTTATATTTTTGTAGTTGCCCCAATCCACCCTCCTTATCTTTTACTTATTCACGACCCCAGCTCTTTTACCAAACCCTGAGTGCCTTTCGCACAAGTAGCGTTTATTTTGCTTGCCCTATCTTTACCCCCATTATCTTAGCCTGAGGTAGGCAAAATATTATCGTTACAAATTTGGTATCCTTTTTTACTGCTTATTTTTTTTATTCCATCCATATTAAGGTTGAACACTAAAATACTCTGAATCTCCCTGTCTTATCCCATTGACAGCTTCAATAGCGTCAGTTAGTTATCTTTCTATTTTATTTTATTGTGTTGTTTTGGAAGATGTTCCTGAAAGTATATCTCTTGCGTATAATAAGTGTATAACGTCCTTTTATATATATATATATATTATATATATATATATATATATATATATATATATCTTGCCGTCTTGCGTCGTTGTCCGATGCCTAATTTCCACGAATTTCTATCATTCCATTGTTCTTCGGTCAAGTCTCGGGAGCTCATTGCCTTTGTTATTCCCTCCTTCCATGTTCTTTTTGGTCTTCCTCGTTTCTTACGATTTGGTGGTATCCATTTCATGGCGATTTTTGGTAGTCTTGTTTCTGGCATTCTTTGAACATGGCCATACCATATAAGTTGTTTCCTTTCTATGTCTGTTGCCAGTGATCCATCTACCCCCATCCGATTCCTTATTTCATCGTTTCTAATTCTGTCTGCCCTAGATATTCGAAGTGATCGTCTAAATACATCCATTTCTGTTGCTTCGAGTTTTTTTATTGCTTTCTGTTAGTCTCCATGTCTCTGTACCATAGGTTAAGCTGGTTTTTATGAGAGATTCATATATATTGTATTTTCGTCTTTTACCAATTTCTGAGCTCCAAAGAACTCCGTTAAGGCATCCAATTGTTCTACGGGCCTGGGTTATTCGTTTTCTAATTTCCCTATTGTCTGTGCCTGTGGTGTCGAAATCAATTCCTAGGTATGTATATTCAGTGCAGAATGCAATTTCGGTTGTGTCCATCTGAATGTTGGATAGTTCTGCGCCTATTGGGAGATATTTTGTTTTTGGTGTATTGAGTTCTAAACCCCATTTTTTGTATTCTTCCTGTAGTTTTCTGGCCATATATGTCAGGTCTTCTTTATCGTTGGCTATAATGACTTGATCGTCTGCAAACTGTAGGGTATATAGGCAAGTTTCTCCCAGGTCAATGCCCATTCCTCTGCACTTTCTCTTCCACTGATACAGTGCTTTCGCCACGTAGATTTTAAACAATGTGGGGGATATGCAACACCCCTGCCGGAGTCCCTTGTTTACAGGAAATTTTTTTGAAAGTCTATTTCCAAGTTTTATTCCCGACGTTGATCCTGCATAAAGCTGTTTAAGGGCGTTAATTACTGTGTGGTTAATGTTTGTTTCCTGCAAAACTTTCCATAGCTTTTTAGCGGGTACAGTATCATAGGCCTTCTGAAGGTCTATAAACATAAGGTGGGTTTCTTGGTTGGTACTTGATCTTTTACACAAGAGGGAGTTTCTAAACATCGTTAAACAGCGAAAAGTCTCACATCTAGGCCATATTTTAAGAGGCGACAAATATAATCCTTTAAAAATCATTTTAAATGGCAAAATTGGAGGTCGGATCGCACCAGTTACCAAAAAACATGTCTGATATCAATGCAATAATAAGAAGAGCAGAAGAAGGATCCCTACGCTTAATCCAACCAGCATGAACGCCTACACACTGCATAGCGTACGGCACCAGAATAAGAAGAATAATAATAAAGTAGAAGGCACTAAATCATTAAAATAACAGTTTCTAGTGTAAATGATTTAAACTTATAAAGTTAGATACGAAATATACAGAATCTTTGTCTGAAAATAGGACTGCAACGATACATTTCATAATCAAAGGATTATACAAACTTAAAGATTTTGTAAATTGTTTCCAAATATGAATATACAAGGTAGACTATAAATATTGGGACAAAGATTAGAATTAGGTTATCATGCAAATCAGCAAATAAACAAAAACGAGAATAAAAAATGGAAAAATAATTTCTCCTTACTAATATATTAAAGTAACTTATACCTTACCTTTCATTGCCAAGCCCTCTGGAGTACAAGGTTTGGTACCGATGACGCAGTCTATGTAACTTCTGACGATTCTGTCATTCTTTAGCACATCATTTAAATTTATTTTTCGTAGAGCTTTTACATTGTCTTCAAAGGTCTTTGGGGCACCAAACACCACAACTACTAAAGTCACAATAAGAAATGTAGATAAAAACCAACCCCTCATTTTGATTTTTATTTCTACCCTGTGCTTGTGTGCTTTCAAGAAAAGACTTAATGTGAATTTATCTGAAATTGTTAACAGTTTATATACCCCTTTTCTTCTCTTCGTGGTTATAAAACTAAAAATATTTTTTACTTTTAGTGGGATCCGATCATTTAATGGCCAATTAACACATAATAAGTTTAAATGTAATGAAAGAGGAAGGTATAAAAAATACATAATAATGATACCATGTCGACAATGGTTTATAGAACAATTAAATTAATTACCTAAAAAAATTAAAATATTAACTTGTAGGTGCAAAGCTACTTCTAAAATCTTTATAGCAGTTTAAATAAGTACCCATCATCAACGTGAGAAGATGGCGGTAGATATTGAAAAAACTATGTTCAAGGTAAGATCACTTTAGAAATGTTTTTATTTTGTTACTTTTTTCACATGCTATTTGGAAAATGGCAGTAAACTATTTCTGAATATTCCTTATTCTTCTGAAAACATTCTTTTAATGACTTTTTTACTGTTTGTTGTAGTCTACATAGTGTTTCACATAGACTTATGACTAAAAATATTAGAATTTGAAATCGGAAAATTCGCATTTTGTAGATCTACACATCTAAGATATATAGAACTATTATTAACTTCGGTAGTGTCAAAATGAAATAGATTATATCATAACAAACAGAAAAGATATATTCAAAGACATCGAAATACTCAACAAAGTATCAATAGGAAGTGACCATAGATTAATTTGAGCTAAGTTACTATTAAATGTCAAATTGGAAAGAACAAATATGATCCTAAAAACAAGAAAAAAGAAATAGATTTTCTCACAAAAGTTAGGTGCTAGTACGTTACCCTGACCCAAACCGTTTGTTTGGATTCGCCAGCGATTTTTTTCCCTCAAGACTTACGCAAAATCGTTGTTTTTTTTGGGTAGTAATTCCACTATTTTGACAAGTTGGTAGGCCTTAAGAATGGAGTAAATTTTCTGCAACAGGTTTCAGTGGTTGAAGGTGTCCTACGCAGCGCTTAGACTAACGAGAGCTAGGCCTGTTATCTTTTTTTCTTTAAATCAGTTCTCGATCTGTTCCATCAGAGTTACAACTTTGCTGGTACAGATTCTTTCAGGTCTGAAACCAGCTTGCTTTAGCATGATTTTTTAGTCAAACGCTTTCTCTATATGGTGTAGGATAAGTCTTTTATATACCTTATATAGATGACGCAATATAGGGCGGTAGCTCTTTGAGGTTTCTAGATCTTTCCCAGGTTTTAGTGTAACTATGAGTTTTGCTTTCCTTCACAGTTTTGATATTTTAAATGTCATTTGGCAGTTAATAAACAAGCATAGAATCTAACTTTTTGCCACGATGTCAAAATGTTAATATCAAAACGCATATATGGTCGACTCCTGTAACTTTACCATTTTTGATTAAATTTAGTTCTTTATTTAGCTTTTTTATGGTAAAAAGTTGGCCAAAGTAGCTTTTTAGTTGTTGGTAAGCAATTCATAACCATTTTTTGCTTGTGGTGTTACGTTTGCTATTAAGAAGTAGTTGGTGGGTTATCTGGTTGGAAGTAAAGTTCGAAAGAGCTTTGCTCACCTTTGTTTTGCCGTTTAGTTTTCTTATTAGGTTCCAATCAGTGTTTCTGCTGTGAGATATGTCCATACGCTCGAGGGTTTCTATCCATTTTCTCTATCGAGCTCAGCTTAGTAATGTCATAAGGGCACACATTATTAGCGTGAGAAGATGGCGGTAAATATTGATAAAATTATGGTCAAGATAAGATGACTATAAAAATCTTTTTATTTTGTTACTTTTTTCACTTGCTATTTGGAAAATAGGCTGTAAACTCTTTCGGAATGTTCCTTAATCTTCTAGAAACATGCTTTTTATGATTTTTTTTTACTGTTTGTTTTAGTCTACATGGTGTTTCACGTAGACTTATGAGTAAAAATATTCTATTTCGAAATCGTACAATTAGTATTTTGTAGATCTATACATCTAAGATAACACATTAAAATATTCTAGGGGGCAACTATATTAATAGCTTTAAATCAATGCTAGCTGCAAATACAAAAAAAATATTTTAATTTTTTTTTGTTGGTTTGTCGATTGTTGTACCAACTTGAACGGTGACGCTGTTAAGAATAGCTATAAAAAATTTAACTAAACTTCAATATGCGTTTTTTGTCTGTAATCTGTCAATGCTAAACGATTAGCCATGGTGTAGGAGGTTCATAGGCAGCAAGATGGCACTATAAAGGTATGGTGTGGCATTAACGTGTAAGAAGATATAATTACCTGGGAACTGTTATCAACGAAAATAATGATTGCTCTGAAGAAATCAGAACCAGAATAGAGAAAGCTAGAGCCACATTTACTAAATTGAAAAAGGTGTTCTGCGGAAGAGATCTAAGTCTAAAACTTAAAATTCGCCTTTTGAGATGTTACGTTATGTCAGTTCTCCTCTACGGGATGGAAACATGGACATTAAAAAAGATCGATACCAAAAAGATAGAAGCATTTGAGTTGTGGATGTATCGTAGAATATTAAGAATACCCTGAACAGAGAAAGTAACAAATGTGGAGGTTTTGCGGAGAGTGCGGAAAAAGAAAGAGCTGATACTTACTGTTAAAAAGCGCAAACTACAATATTTGGGACATGTTATGAGGGGAGATAAATACCAGTTGCTGCAATTGATTATACAGGGAAAGATAATGGGAAAGAGATCTATAGGAAGAAGAAGGCATTCATGGCTGAAAAACTTGAGAGAATGGTACAATTGCACCAATTACCAACTGTTTAGATCTGCAGCATCAAAAATACGCATAGCTTTGATGATAGCCAAACTTCGGAACGAAGACGGCACTTAAAGAAGAAGAAGTGGCATTAATCTTGGTGGAAGAACCAATCTCGTTTGTCTGGAACGATTTCTAAATGCAACAGACTACCGCGATAGTATTCTCAAACCTATTAGTGTATCCTTTGCACAAAAAGCTGATCCCCAATTGTAATTAATGCACACAAAACAATGCGCGTCCGCATGCTGTCAGAGTCGAACGAAAATACCTCGAAGTTAATGAAATTGAAGCTTTACCGTGGCCTGCACAATTGCTAGATTTAAACAAAATTGAGCATGTATAAGACATATTGGGCAGACGCATTTTACAACAAAATTTTACGTTCAATATAAGACAGCAACAGTTTGAGGGCCTTCCAATCGAGTGTTTATATGTTTAACAGTAGAAAGGCTTAGGACTAAGTAAGTAAGTAATATATCTCTGGCTTATTGTGATGAATCCAGTAGAGACAATTACCTGATTCGGCTTAAGTTTGAAACTCAGTTATGAAAAATACCCCGACTACCACAAAATCTACACACATGCATCTAAGTCCGAAGACGGAGTTTGGGCATCAATCGTTTCTTTAGAAAAAATCTTTTACGTCTATTCCCAGTATGTATTATATATTTAGCTCAGCTCTACGATATATACCGTGCTGTGAAACTTTTTAAGGAGGTTACCTTCACAAAATCCCGATTCAAAAATTTTTTTCGAAACATCCTTTTGAAAAGTTTTTAAAATAACATTTGACCCAAGCTCATTAACATTAAAGAAGAGTTTAATCACACGTCGGAATAATGGGAAACGAAGAAGCTAACGGGGCTATACGACAGACAATTTTAAGTGATTATTCGGAGCCTAAAGACAAGTGTGTTTCCAATGACTTAGAAACTCATTTTAATAATGAAGTATTGTGCTTGTGGAAAAATAAGTGGCATAATAAAATCATGTTTCTCAGTGGATCCATTGTCTTTTAAAAGGCGTGAACAAATTATGCTTGCGCGCTTACATCTAGGAAATACCAAGGTATGGCACTCTGACCTATTTACAAAGAATAACACACACATACGTGATCAGTGGAACGTTTGATCAAGATAGACATTGTTACAATATCTTGAACTCTCTGGCAGACGCTCTGAGTCAAAAGTGTTCCTATAATATTATAGTTAAACATCTAAGATATATAAACATTTTTTTATAATCTGTTGTTAATTCAATTTTGTTATTTATATTTTGTTCCGTGACTAATTATCTTTTGGTTGGTGCGACTATTTTTCTAATAAAAAAATAATAGGAATAACATTACATTTTTAATGCGATTGACATTCTTTTAAAAAGTTAGAAGATTTAAGTGCACGTTAACCGAATTCACAATACCTACTAGACTTGTTTGTAAATGGAGATATCCTGAAAGGTTGGTATCCTGGATAATCAACAAGAATATGCTTTACAAAGAGTACTACAAACTTCATTACAGTTAGAATATCAACATCATCATCAATGATGCTACAATCTTATAGAAGAGCCGTGATCTGCCCAAGTATATTTCGCTAGACCATTAACAATCTAGCCATTACCAACCGTTGCCAGTCTGTACCTATTTTTCTAGCAGCTTCGTCTACATCAACCTTTTATCTAAGTTTTGACTTCCCTATCTGTCTACTTTCCACCAGTTCTGACTTATGGATTCGTCTAGAACTGTTGTACTGCTGTGATCTGGATAGATATCCTGTCACGAGTTTACAACCAGCTATCTGTATGTATTTGGGATATATCTCATTATTGTACATTCTTCTCTAAATACCGTTTTCACCAAGGCGACCGAATATTTCTCTTAGAATTCTTCGTTCAAATATGAGTAAGAGGTTTTCTTCTAACTTAAAGATGGCCCATGTTTTCAATCCATATATCAGCACTTGTAGCATAAGAATTTTGTATATTGTTACTTTTGTTTTCTGGCTTGAGTTTTTACTTTTTGTGTAATTAGCTAGATCAAAATAACACCTGTCTGCTAGAACTTTTCTTCGAGAGCCTAAGGATGTAAATTGGTCCACTACATTGTCATCACAGATAGAACATATCGATTGATTTACTCTTTAAATTAAACCTAGATAGGTCATTTTAGTATATCCAATCCTTAACATTCTTAAAATATTT